TGGCGGGCGCGACCGCGCAATACGCTAAAAAACCTCCATATGGGACAGGGGGAACTTCTGAAGTTTCCCTCTCCCTCTGTTGTTGACTGTTGGTGTGATATTTATAATTTTTTTTCACTGATTAAACAAACAACAGCTATAAAACTTGCCCCAGACATGCGGAAATAATAACGAAACGATTTCGAAATGATTTCGAAACGAATACGAAACTAATACTAAGCAATTACGAAACGAATTGAAAAATTCGTTTCGTTTTTTAGATGCTCCTGAATGGTTCGTTATCGCTTCGTAAGGAAAAAATAATAATGAATTTTTAACGAATTACGAAATTACGAAACGAAACCGCCCAGCCCTAGTGAATGTCCTCCCTTTGCTTTTCCTGCTTTACTTCCAAAGTAAAGACCACCCAATGAAACAGGAAATAACACTTTCAAACCATTAACAAAAGGATTCAGAAGTCTCAGAAGTTTCGAAAAGTTTCGAACATTTTTTTCTGTGAAAATCGGAATAGACTTTAGAATCGAACCACCGACGCCCCCTACATCCGAAATGAGTTTTGAACCATTTTTTAAAAAATCAAACAAGTCTAGAAAATATAACTATTGGCATTTCTTTCCTTATCTATATCTTGCTTCAGCTCTACCTACAAAAACTCAAAGACATTAAAACTTAAAATATACAAATATACAATAATTAAACAGTATATCATACATATTCTTTTATATCAGTACTGTTATATTTAGGGCCCCCATGGTGGCACAGTAGATTAAACCACCAAGCTGCTGAACTTGGTAAATGAAATGTTGGCAGTTCGAATCCAGGGAGCGGGGTGAGCTCTTGCTGTTAGGCCCAGCTTCTGCCAATCTAGCGGTTCAAAAACATGCAAATGTGAGTAGATCAATAGGTACCACTCCGGCGGGAAGGTAAGGGCGCTCCATGCATGTTGGCCACATGACCTTGGAGGTGTCTATGGACAACACCAGCTCTTTGGCTTAGAAATGGAGAAAAGCACCCCCCTCCCCCCGAGTTGGACTTGCTTAGACTTAATGTCAAGGGGAAACCTTTACCTTTTTTCTCTTATATTTAACCTATTAGTATTGTTATACTACATTATTATTAAAGCCAATTAGGAAATGACACTATCACCCAGGAACAAAAATCACAGTGTTACATGGTGTAATATATTATAATATAATGGATGTAGATTTAACTAATTTCCTCACGACTTACAAAACTTCCAAACAGTTTGCACATTCCTAATGCCTAGTATCACCCTTGCCTCCCCCTGCTTTCATCTCTTCTTTCTCTTTTCCTCCATTGTACATTTCTCTCCTTTTTCATCTTTCTTTCTTTCTTTCCCCCCACTCTTACATTCCTCCTTTCCTTCCTTCCCTTTACTTTTCTTTCTATCCTCCTCCCTTCCTTCTTCTTTCTCTCTTCTCTCTTTCTCTCTTTCCCTCTCCCTTCTACTTTCTTGTCTTTTTCTCTTTCCTTCACTCCATTCTTACTTTCCCTTTCTCCTTTCTTTCTTTCTTTCTTTCTCCCTTCTCCTTTCCCATCTTTTTCTTTCCTTCCCTCCACTCTTACCTCCCTCCTTTCCTTCCTTCCCTTTACTTTTCTTTCTTCCTCCTCCCTTCCTTCTTCTTTCTCTTTTCTCTCTTTCTTTCTCTCTTTCCCTCTCCCTTCTACTTTCTTGTCTTTTTCTCTTTCCTTCCCTCCACTCTTACCTTCCTCCTTTCCTTCCTTCCCTTTACTTTTCTTTCTTTCCTCTTCCTTTCCTTCTTCTTTCTCTTTTCTCTCTTTCTTTCTCTCTTTCCCTCTCCCTTCTACTTTCTTGTCTTTTTCTCTTTCCTTCCCTCCACTCTTACCTTCCTCCTTTCCTTCCTTCCCTTTTCTTTTCTTTCTTTCCTCTTCCTTTCCTTCTTCTTTCTCTTTTTTCTATTTCTTTCTCTCTTTCCCTCTCTCTTCTACTTTCTTGTCTTTTTCTCTTTCCTTCCCTCCACTCTTACCTTCCTCCTTTCCTTCCTCCCTTTACTTTTCTTTCTTTCCTCTTCCTTTCCTTCTTTCTCTTTTCTCTCTTTCTTTCTCTCTTTCCCTCTCCCTTCTACTTTCTTGTCTTTTTCTCTTTCCTTCCCTCCACTCTTACCTTCCTCCTTTCCTTCCTTCCCTTTTCTTTTCTTTCTTTCCTCTTCCTTTCCTTCTTCTTTCTCTTTTTTCTATTTCTTTCTCTCTTTCCCTCTCTCTTCTACTTTCTTGTCTTTTTCTCTTTCCTTCCCTCCACTCTTACCTTCCTCCTTTCCTTCCTCCCTTTACTTTTCTTTCTTTCCTCTTCCTTTCCTTCTTTCTCTTTTCTCTCTTTCTTTCTCTCTTTCCCTCTCCCTTCTACTTTCTTGTCTTTTTCTCTTTCCTTCACTCCACTCTTTTGTAGCTTTGAATATTCATAGATTTGAATCAGTGTTGTCTCTACAAATCTCTAAGTCTTCAAGGGATATTCTATGGTCAACTTCCATCAGAAGTTGAAAACAGATACGCTGGAGAGCTGGACAACAGAGATACGCTGGAGAGCCATCTTCCGTTCCTTCCCTATTCCCTCTTTCTTTCTTTCTTTCTTTCTTTCTTTCTTCCCTCCCTCCCTTCCTTTCCCCCCTTTTCTTTCTTTCTTTCATCCCTCCCTTTCCTTTCTCCTATTCCCAGCACAGGCAAACTCTCTTTGTGGATCTTTCCTTCCTTCCTTCCTTTTTCCCTACCTTCCTTCATAACCACTTTTCCATTTCATTAAGTTTGTCAGTGCTTTCTTTAAAGTAATGGTCCAAGGTTCTGAACATTAGCTCTCAAAAACATTCAGGACCTTGGAGAGCTCCTTTTGAGTTCAATAACACCATGTAACACTATGATTTTTTTTCTTCCTGGGTTATAAATATCATTCCCTAATTGGTTCTATGATTTTTTAACAAAATGGGAAAAGTTGATTGAACTGCCAAAAACATTGTTTTTGACAGACGTCCTGCAATATCACATTTGGCAATAGTTTTTCAATGAGCCTCAACCCATTCAACATTAGTTTGTAGCAGCGATTGAAGTGTCTGGAGCAGAACAATGACTTTCAAAGTTGGAAGTGCACAATTAAACAGAAATAACACTTTCAATTCCAGAGGTTAGCCAGAAGAGATAAGGAACTATTTTTAAATAAGCAATGCATGGAAGTGGAAGAAGACAACAGAATAGGAAGGACAAGAGACCTCTTCCAGAAAATTAGAAACATTGGAGGCAAATTTCAGGCAAAAATTGGTATGATAAGGAACAAAGATGGCAGGGACCTAACAGAAGCTGAAGAGATCAAGAGAAGGTGGCGAGACTATACAGAAGATCTGTATAGGAAGGATAATAATATTGAGGATAGTTTTGACGGTGTGGTGAATGAATTAGAACCAGACATCCTGAGGAGTGAGGTTGAATGGGCCTTAAGAAGCATTTCTAACAACAAGGCAGCAGGAGACGACGGGAACTGTTTAAAATCTTAAAAGATGATGCTGTCAAGGTGATGCATGCCATATGCCAGCAAATATGGAAAACACAAGAATGGTCATCAGACTGGAAAAAATCAACTTATATCCCCATACCAAAAAAGGGAAATGCGAAAGACTGCTCAAACTTCCGTACAGTGGCCCTTATTTCTCATGCCAGTAAGGTAATGCTCAAGATCCTGCAAGGAAGACTCCAGCAATACATGGAGCGAGAGTTGCCAGATGTTCAAGCTGGGTTTAGAAAAGGTAGAGGAACGAGAGACCAGATTGCCAATATCCGCTGGATAATGGAGAAAGGCAGGGAGTTTCAGAAAAACATCTACTTCTGCTTCATTGACTATTCTAAAGCCTTTGACTGTGTGGATCATAATAAATTGTGGCAAGTTCTTAGTGGGATGGGCATCCCAAGCCACCTTGTCTCTCTCCTGAGGAATCTTTACAAGGACCAAGTAGCAACAGTCAGAACTGACCACGGAACAACAGACTGGTTCAAGATTGGGAAAGGCGTACGGCAAGGCTGCATACCTCTCACCCAACCTTTTTAACTTGTATGCAGAACACATCATGCGATGTGCGGGGCTTCATGAATGCAAAGCTGGGGTGAAAATTGCTGGAAGAAACATTAACAACCTCAGATATGCAGATGACACCACTCTGATGGCCGAAAGCGAGGAGGAGCTGAGGAGCCTTCTAATCAAGGTGAAAGAAGAAAGCGCAAAAGCCGGGTTGCAGCTAAACATCAAAAAAACAAGATTATGGCAACAAGAATGATTGACAACTGGGAAATAGAGGGAGAAAATGTGGAGGCCGTGACAGACTTTGTATTTCTAGGTGGGAAGATGACTGCAGATGCAGACTGTGGCCAGGAAATCAGAAGACGCTTACTTCTTGGGAGGAGAGCAATGTCCAATCTCGATAAAATAGTAAAGAGTAGAGACATCAGACTGGCAACAAAGATCCGCCTAGTCAAAGCCATGGTATTCACCCTACGGATGTGAGAGCTGGACCTTAGGGAAGGCTGAGCGAAGGAAGAGAGAGGCTTTTGAACTGTGGTGTTGGAGGAAAGTTCTGAGAGTGCCTTGGACTGCGAGAAGATCCAACCAGTCCATCCTCCAGGAAATAAAGCCCGACTGCTCATTGGAGGGAAGGATACTAGAGACAAAGTTGAAGTACTTTGGCCACATCATGAGGAGACAGGAAAGCCTAGAGAAGACAATTATGCTGGGGTAAGTGGAAGGCAAAAGGAAGAGGGGCCGACCAAGGGCAAGATGGATGGATGGCATCCTTGAAGTGACTGGACTGACCTTGAAGGAGCTGGGGGTGGTGACGGCTGACAGGGAGCTCTGGCGTGGGCTGGTCCATGAGGTCACGAAGAGTTGGAGACGACTGAACGAATGAACAACAACAAACACTTTCAAAACAGGAACAGAACATATTTTTTCAAATGTTGTTACATAGTGTAATATGGAAGCCATCTTGTCAAGCCTTACTCGAAGCTGGATCCCATCCATGGCCGGCTACTGCTCTACGCTCATGGCTCCATGGCGGACATCTCTAAAACATCCCAGGAATGGATACCTACAAGAAGAGGACGGATGGTGGATGGTAGAGAAAGAAAGAGAAAGGAAAAGAGATATTTGGAAAAGGAAGGAAAGAATGGTAAAAAAGGGGAGAGAAAGGAAGGGAATCAAGGAAGGATGAAAGAAGGGAGGTAAGAAAGAAAAAGAAGGGAAAGGAAAGGAGAACAGAAGTAAAGGGAAAGAAAAAAATAAAAAGGAAGAGAAAGGAAAATGTTAGAGAAGGAAGGAAAAAATGGGAAAGAAGGGAAGAAAGAAGGGAGGTAAGAAAGAAAAAGAAGGGAAAGGAAAGGAGAACAGAAGTAAAGGGAACAAAAGAAATAAAAAGGAAGAGAAAGGAAAGGGTAGAGAAATATTTGGAATGGGAAAGAAGGGAAGAAAGAAGGGATAAAAGAAGGGATATAAGAAAAGAAAAAGAAGGGAAGGGAAAGGAAAGAAAAGAGAAGAGAAGAACAGAAGTAAGGGGGAAGAAGGAAATAAAAGCGAAGAGAAAGGAAAGGGCAGGGAAATATTTGGAGAATAAAGGAAAAATGAGAAAGAAGGGATGAAGGAAAGGAGGTAAGAAAGAAGACGGGAAGAGAAAAGAAAAGGATAGAGAGATTCCCAGAAGGAAGGCAATAACAAGAACAATGGGAAAGGGGGAGATATTAGGAGAAGGAAAGCAAAAATGAGAAAGAAAGAAAGAAAGAAAGAAAGAAAGAAGAAGGGAAGGAAGAAGTGATGAAGGGAGGTAAGAAAGAAAAAGAAGGGGAGAGAAAGGAAGGGAAGCAAGGAAGGATGAAAGAAGGAAGAAAAAGAAGGGAAGGGAAGGAAAAGAACAGAAGGAGAGGAGAAAAAAAAAGAAGAGAGGAAGAGAAAGGAAGGGGAAAAGATATTAGGAGAAGGAAAGAAAGAATGAGAAAGAAGGTAAGAAAGAAGGGAGAGAGGAAGGATGAAAGAAAAAGAAGGGAAGGGAAAGGTCATCAGAAACAGGAGCAGCAGACAAAGAAATCCCAACGCACTTATAAAGGGACTCTGTTCGTCGTGGGAGTTCTGTGTGCCATATTTGGTTCAATTCCATCATTGGTGGAGTTCAGAATGCTCTTTGATTGTAGGTGAACTATACATCCCAGTAATTACAACTCGCATATGTCAAGGTCTATTTTCCCCCAAGAGCGCCTCAAGAGCACCCCTGGGCAAACTCAACTGTACCGCAAGCGCTTACTTTGCGTAATGGCTTCGCCGCCCCTGGGGATGCAAGCCAATTCCATCATTGGTGGAGTTCAGAATGCTCTTTGATTGTAGGTGAACTATACATCCCAGTAACTACAACTCGCATATGTCAAGGTCTATTTTCCCCCAAGAGCACCTCAAGAGCGCCCCTGGGCAAAATCAACTGTACCGCAAGTGCTTACTTTGCGTAATGGCTTCGCCGCCCCTGGGGATGCAAACCAATTCCATCATTGGTGGAGTTCAGCATGCTCTTTGATTGTAGATGAACTATGCATCCCAGTAACTACAACTCGCATATGTCACAGGTCTATTTCCCCCCAAGAGCGCTTCAAGAGCACCCCTGGGAAAATCAACTGTACCGCAAGCACTTAGTCTGCGTAATGGTTGATCCGCCCCTGGGTGGACAGGCCTATTTCTCCAGCTCTGTTTGGTTGGAAAGTCTTATTTATCACAGGCATCTCCCATATCCAAAGTGATGATGATGATGATGATGACGATGATGATGATGATGATGATGATATCCCAAACCACCTTTTCTGGAAGGAGACACCTAGGCTTGGACCCCACCCTTTGTGCACCCAATTGCTTCCGTGCGCACCCATTGGTTTCTCTTACCAGCCTCTTTGCCTCCTCCTTGTGCGTCTGGGCAGCGCTGTCGGGAAGTCTATCTATCATCTATCTATCTATCTATCTATCTATCTATCTATCTATTTCTCTATCTATCTACCAATACATCCATCCATCCATTAACCAATACGTTCTTTCTCCTTTATCTCTTCACCTGTGTTGTTCTCTATCTCTATCTATCTATCTATCCATCCACCCATCTACCAATGCATCCATCCATTCACTAATACATTTTTCTCTTTCTCCATCTCTACATCACTTCACCTGTGTCGTTCTCTATCCATCGATCTATCCATCTATCTGTCTCTCTCTCTCTGTGTCTATCCATCCATCTCTCCATCCATCCATCCATCCATCCATCTCTATCTATCTCTCTATCCATCCATCCTCTCTCTCTCTCTATCTATCTATGCATCCATCCATCAATTCACCAGTACATTTACTCTTTCTCCATCTCTCTCTCTTCTCCTGCATCATTCTCTATCCATCCATCTATCTAACCATCCATCATCTATCTCTATCTATCTATCTATCTATCTATCTATCTATCTATCTATCTACCAATGCATGTATCCATCAATTCACCAATACATTTCTCTCTCACACACACTCACTCTCTATCTCTCTCTCACTCTCTATCTCTCTATCTATCTCTCTATTTCTCTATCCATCCATCTATCTATCTATCTATCTATCTATCTATCTATCTATCTATCTATCTACCAATGCATCCATCCATCAATTCACCAATACATTTTTTCTCTTTCTCCATCTCTATAACTCTTCACCTGTGTCATTCTCTATCCATCGATCCATCTATCTATCCATCTATCCATCCATCCATCCATCCATCCATCCATCCATCTATCCAGCAATCTCTCTTTCTCGCTCTCTATCTTTTCACCTGTGTTGTTCTCTATCTATCTATCTATCTATCTATCTATCTATCTATCTATCTATCCATCCATCCATCCATCCATCCATCCATCATCCATCTATCTATCCATCCAATACATTTTTCTCTTTCTCCATCTCTATCTCTTCACCTGTGTTGTTCTCTATCTCTATCTATCTATCTATCTATCTATCTCTCCATCCATCCATCCATCCATCCATTCACCAATACATTTTCTCTTTCTCCATCTCTCTATCTCTTCACCTGTGTTGTTCTCTATCTATCTATCTATCTATCTATCTATCTATCTATCTATCTATCTATCTATCTATCAATCATCTATCATCTATCTCTATCTCTCTATCTATCTACCAATACATCCATCCATCCATTAACCAATACATTCTTCTTCCATGTACACCCATTGGTTTCTCTTACCAGCCTCTTTGAGTCCTCCTTGTGCATCTGGACAGCGCTGTCGGGGAGTTTGGGGGCTCGCATCCTGCTGTGGACGTTTAAAGACCGGACAGAGCACTAATCCCACTGGTTAGAGATTACTCGCTTTCGCCAAAAGCTATGTGCGGGATGCAGAACATCTGGTCCGGGATGGAGTTGGCCCCAATGCAGCTTTCCGGAGAGGGAGGGAGAAAGAGACGTGACTGTCAGGTATTTCTTCAACCTGGAGCAGAATTTCTCAGCTCAAACCTACGAGTATTAAAGTAATAATAAGAACCATACTAATACACTTTATCAGGTAATTTTCAATGGTAAGCAAACAGTGTTTTGGCCCCCCCCCCAACCAATCATTGATATATATTTTCCGTTTGTCGTGGGAGTTCTGTGTGCCATATTTGGTTCAATTCCATCATTGGTGGAGTTCAGAATGCTCTTTGATTGTAGGTGAACTATACATCCCAGTAACTACACTTGCCGCACTTGCTCCCTTGCCTGGCCCGCTTTGGGTCCGGAGGCGGGCCTGAAGACCCCGGCGTGTGCACCAAAAGTCACCTCTTCTCCTGACTTTCTCCTCAGCCATTGGGACCGAGAGAGAGAGAGAGAGAGAGAGAGAGAGGTGGAGATGCCCACCTTTCCTGAAGGTAGGCACAAAAACAAAGGAGGGAGCAGAGGTGGGAGATACCTCCAGCCGGAGGGGCTCTCTCTCTCTCTTGGTCCCAATGGCTGAAGAGAAAGTCAGGAGAAGAGGCGACTTTTGGTGCGCACGCTGGGGTCTTCAGACACGCCTCCAGACCCAAAGCGGACCAGGTGCGGCAGCTCCGCCCCTTGGCCCACCCGCGGATTGGGGAGAGGAGAGGAGGCGGGTGGAGCACCGGGGGATCAGGGAGCCGGTCATGGGGAAGGGATTGAACGCGGAGAATGATTGAGCGCCGGCTCTGCTCGCGCACCCGGTGGCCGGGTGGAGCAGGAACGAGAGGGGCTAGGCGAGGCTCAAGGGCCCGGCCCCTTTGGGAAGAGGATCGCCCGGCAGCGAGGCAAGAAAGCCGAGGCTCCCCCCGGACTGCTAGGGCTGTTGTGAGCTGAGGGGGCGCTCCTCAAGTGGCGGTCGAGGGGCATTTACAGAGGCGCCTCTGCGCCCCTGGCAAAAAAAAGTGTTCTGCGACCGCTTACTTTGCGTAATGGACGAGCCGCCCCTGCACTTTATTATGCAGCAGCGGAGCAGTTGCAGCAATTCCTAGACGACACAGCCGGACTAGATCCCTTCCAGTCCGGCTTCCGTGCGGGACACGGGACAGAGACTGTGCTGGTCTCCATCACAGATCGCCTTCGATGCCAGCTTGACCAGGGCGGGTCGGCGCTGCTGTGTTATTGGATCTCACAGCAGCATTTGGCACAGTCGACCACAATCTTTTGACCCATCGCCTTGCTGTTGGAGTGAGTCAGGGGGAGAGCGTTAAACTGGCTGTCCTCCTTTCTTCACAACCGTGGACAGCGAGTGGAGAGGGGAGGCCTGGTCTCTGAGAGGTCCCCCCTCTCTCTCTTGTGGGGTTCCTCAGGGGGCCATTCTCTCCCCTCTGTTATTTAACATCTATATGCGACCACTTGCTCAGCTGGTTCGAGGTTTTGGGCTGGGGTGTTACCAGTACGCCGATGACACTCAGCTGGTGCTGAAGATGGAAGGCCGACCGGACTCTGTACCCGATTGTTTCCATCAGTGCCTCAAGGCCGTTACTGGATGGCTGCGTGCCAGCAGGTTGAGGGTGAATCCAGCAAAGACGGAGATCCTACGGCTGGCTCGACCGGGCAGTGGGGATATCCATCTGCCTACCCTGGATGGTGAGGCGCTACGCCCGTCATCATTGGTAAAGAATCTGGGAGTCCTTTTGGACCCTCTCTTTCTGAAGATGGAGGCCCAGGTCTCCCCCGTGAGCAGAACCGCCTTTTTTCATCTGCGGCAGGCCAGACGGCTGGCCCCCTCCAGGGACGACCTAGCTATGGTGATCCAGGTCATGGTCATCTCAAGACTAGACTACTGTAATGCCCTCTACATTGACCTTCCTCCGTCAGTGATCCGGAACTCAAGTTGGTACAAAACGCAGCTGCTCGGCTTCTTGCGGGAATTCTGATGAGATGCCACATAACACCAATCTTACTGCAGCTGCATTGGTTACCAATTGAGCACCGGATCACTTTCAAAGTGATGGTACTCACCTTTAAGGCCTTGCATGGTCTGGGGCCGATGTACCTGAGGGACCACCTCACCCCCTACCAACCCCAGAGATCCCTCCGTTCTGAGGACCAAGATCTATTGGAAGTTCCCAGTGTCAAGACCTTGCGTCTAACAGCAACCAGACGCAGAGCCTTCACAGCAGTGGCACCATCACTCTGGAATACTCTGCCACCTGAAGTCCGTGCCTTGCGGGATTTATCAGCTTTCCGCAGGGCATGTATGACATATCTGTTTCAACAGGCCTTTGATCTCTGATATTGTTGTTTTTAAATTGTTTTAAATTGTGATAGATTGTAGCCTGTTCTTGTAAGCCGCTCCGAGCCCCAGGGGAGTGGCCGCATATACATTGGAATAATAAATAAATAAATAAATAAATAAATAAATAAATAAATAAATAAATTTATACCTTGCCCCATCACCCCGGAGGGACTCTGGGTGGCTTACAATCAAACAAATGGATACGATAAATGATAAGACACAGAAAGTGATCACAATAAAGCAAAATAGCGCAACAATATAAACACACAAAAAACCAAATAATTTGACAACACTATAAAACCCTGATGATGGATGGATGGGATCCTTGAAGTGACTGGATTGACCTTGAAGGAGCTGGGGGTGGTGACGGCTGACAGGGAGCTCTGGCGTGGGTTGGTCCATGAGGTCACGAAGAATCAGAAACGACTGAACGAATGAACAACATAAAATACTGTAAAAGCAATATATGAGATAATTTTAAACCAGCCAATCCTATAATTAGATTATCCAGATTATAATTATAGTTATAATGTAATATTATTATTATTATTATTATTATTAATAATAATAATAATAATAATAATAATAATAATAATTTATCTATATAAATTCATCTATATAATTCTATCTCTGAATTTGGGTTATGGACTTGAAGGTGGACAACTGTCTTGACCCATGGGCTATGAAGTGTGAGTTATGAGAGCGGACAACTCCACTGGCCATGAACTAAGGACTAAGAGAGGAGGCAACAGCACTGGCCATGGGCTATGAGAGGGGACAACTCTCTGGACTATGGCCTTGAGAGTGGATAACTCAATTCGTCATGGGCTATGAGCTATGAGCTATATGAGAAGACAACTCTATTGGCCATGGGTTATAGGCTATGAGAGGGGACAACTCTATTGGCCATGGGCTATGAGAGGAGACAACTCTGTTGACTATGGACTTGAGAGTGGATAACTCTAAACTCTATTGGCCATGGAATACAGACTATGAGAAGAGACAACTCTGTTAACTATGGGTTATGTGCTTGAGAGTGGACAACTCCACTGGCCATAACTATGAGAGGCAATAACTGTGTTGACTATGGGCAATGACAGCGAACAACTCCGTTGCCCATGGGCCATGGACTATGAGATGAGACAACTCTATTGACTATGGGCTGAAGAGTTGACAACTCTATTGGCCATGGAATGCAGACAATGAAAAGAGACAACTCTGTTAACTATGGGTTATGTGCTTGAGAGTGGACAACTTCACTGGTCATGAGCTATGAGAGGAGACAACTCCTTTGACTATGGGCTGAAGGAGTAAATAGCTCTGTTGACTATGGGCAATGACAGTGAACAACTCCATTGCCCATGGTCCATGGACAACTCCATGGTCCATGGACAAGATGAGACAACTCAATTTGTCATGGACTATGAGAAGAGACAACTCTGTTGACTATGGGATGAAGAGTGGACAACTCTATTGGCCATGGAATACAGACTATGAGAGGAGACAACTCTGTTGACTATGGGTTATGTGTTTGAGGGCAGACAACTCTATTGGCCATGGGCTATAGACTATGAGACTGGGCAACTCCATTAGCTGTGGGCTATGAGAGGGGATAACTCTGTTGACTACAGGTTCAAGAGGGGACAACTCTATTGGCCTTGGGCTATGAGAAGGGCCAACTGTTGACTATGGGATATGAGAGCGGACAACTCCATTGACCCTGGGCTATGAGAGAGGATAACTCTGTTGACTATGGGCTATGAGAGCAGACAACTCTATTAGCCATGGGCAATAATAATAATAATAATAATGCTTAACTTATATTCCACCTTATCTTCCCAGAGGGACTCAGGGCAACATGGTTCTCAGGGTCCCTCTCAACCTTCTCATTTTCCCAACTAAACATCCATCAGGAAGAAAGGAGGAAGGAAAAAGAAGGAAGGAAGGAAGAGAAGGATGGAAGGAAGGGATGAAAGGGAAGGGGAGGGAGAAAGGAAAGAAGAAGGAAAGGAAGGAAGGAAGGAAGGAAGGAAGGAAGGAAGAAGGAAGGAGGGAGGAGGAGTGGGAGAGAAGGAGGGAGGGGGGAATGAGGATGGAATGATGAAGTGAAGGGAAGGAGAGAGAGGAGGAAGGGAGGAGGAAGAGGAAGGAAAGAAAGAAGAAGGAAGGGAGGAAGGGAGGGAGGATAGAAGGAAGGAATGTAGGGTGGAAGGGAATGGTAGGAGGGAGGGAAGGGAGGGAGGGAGGAAAGACAGAAAGAAGGAAGGAAGGAAGGAAAGAGGAAGGGAGAGAGAAGGGGAGGGGGATAAAGGAGCAAGGAAAGAGGGAAGGAAGGATGAAAGTGAAAGGGAGGGAGGGAAGGAGGAAGGAAAGAGAGAGAAGGAAGGAAGGGAGGGAGGGAGGGAGGGAGGATAGAAGGGAGGAAGGGAGGGAGGATAGAAGGAGGAGGTGGAAGGAAGGAAAGAAGTGGGGAGAGAGGGAAGGGAGGGAGAAAAGATACAAGGAAGGAAAGGCAAAAAGGAAGGAAGGAAGGAAGGGAGAAAGAGGGAAAGAGGGAGAGAGGGGGGTAAGGAAGGAAGGGGGGAAGAAGGAAGGAAGGAAGGAAGGAAGGAAGGAAGGAAGGAAGGAGAGAGAGAAAAATAAGGAAGGGATGGAGAATGGAAGGAAGATGGAAAGGAATGGAAGGAGAGAGGGAGGGAAGAGAGAAGGAAGGAAAGACAAAAGGGAAGGAAGAAAGGAAGAAAAAAGGGAGAGAGGGAAGGAGGGAGGGAAGGGTGGAAGGGAATGGGGGAGGGAGGAAAGAGAGAAGGAAGGAAAGGCAGAATGGAAGGAGGGAAGAAAGGAAGAAAAAAGAGAGAGAGGGAAGGAGGGAGGGAAGGATGGAAGGGAATGGGGGAGGGAGGAAAGAGAGAAGGAAGGAAAGGCAGAATGGAAGGAGGGAAGAAAGGAAGAAAAAAGGGAGAGAGGGAAGGAGGGAGGGAAGGGTGGAAGGGAATGGGGGAGGGAGGAAAGAGAGAAGGAAGGAAAGGCAGAATGGAAGGAGGGAAGAAAGGAAGAAAAAAGAGAGAGAGGGAAGGAGGGAGGGAAGGATGGAAGGGAATGGGGGGGAGGAAAGAGAGAGAGAAGGAAAGGAGAATGGAGGAGGGATGAGGAAGGAAAAAGGGAGAGAGGGAAGGAAGGAAGGAAGGACGAAAGCGTGGAAAGGAAGGATGGAAGGAGAAAGAGGGAGGTTAGGAAGGATAGAAGAAGAAAGGAAAGAGAGAAGAGAGGGAGGATAGGATGGTGAGAGATAGAGGAGGGCCCGAGGAAAGAGCCCAAGGGGCTGCATTCGGCCCGCGGGCCTAGAAGATATTAATTGAATGACTATAGAAAAATATGCTGCAGGGTGTTGTCCTAAATCAACAAAGTTTTGGCTAGTTAATCAACTTTCCCCATGTTTTTATGATAGAACTAATTAGGAAATGACATTGATAACTTAGGAACGGAAATTGTGTTACGTAATGTAAATAGTAGGCCTGGGTAACAACGGAAAAATTTGTTTCTAAAATCGATTTGTGTTTGGGGGGTTTTTTTGTTTCGATATTTAAAATAATTACAAAATTTTCCTTTTAAAAAGTTCGATATTTACGAAATTTCGTAAATGGTAAAAAATTAACGAATCGATTTCCGAAACAATAACGAATCGATTTGTTAATGGCGGACGCGACCGCGAAATACGCTAAAAAACCTCCAAAACCTTCTGAAGCTTCCCTCTCCCTCTGTTGTTGACTGTTGGTGTGATATTATAATTTTTTTTCACTAATTAAACCATAAAACTGGCCCAGACATGCGGAAATAATAACGAAACGACCTCGAAACAATAACGAAACGAATACAATATCGAAATACGAAGCATTTACAAAACGTTTTTGAAAATTCGTTTTTTTAAATAATTGCTCCAGAATGGTTCGTTATTGTTTTGTAATTGAAAAAATTAACGAATTATTAACGAATTACGAATTAACGAAACGAAACCGCCCAGCCCTAGTAAATAGAGAAGAGATGCTGTGTGGATGAATGAATGTACGTAGTAGCTACTAGGTTTGGGTAACCACGGAAAAATTTGGTTCTAAACTCGTTTCGTTTTTAGGGGTCCATCGCGTTTCGTTTTTTTAAAGAATTCCGAAATTTTCCTTTAAAAAATTTCGAAATTTACGAAATTTCGTAAAATTACGAATCGATTCGTTAATGGCGGACGAGATTGCGCAATATGCTAAAAAAATCCTCCAAATGGGACAGGAGGAACTTCTGAAGCTTCCCTCTCCCTCTGTTGTTGACAAACAAACAACAACTATAAAACTTGCACCAGACATGCTGAAATAATTACGAAATAATTACGAAATAATTACGAAATAATTTCGAAATAATTACAAAATAAATTGAAAAAATTGTTTCGAATCTTAATTACTCCTCACACTATTCCTGCATGGCTCAATATTGGATCGTAAGCTAATTTAAATACGAATTAATAACGAATTACGAAATTAACGAATGAAACCGCCCAAGCCTAGTAGGTACAAATGGCCATTCCTGACGAAGGTATTCGGACCCAAAGGATTTTACAGGGACTTAAGCATATGATAGAATAATAGAATCAGAGTCTGAACGACAGCCGTGGAGTCTATATGCTTCTGTCTTCTCTTTTGCTGTTCCGGGGATAACACAAAGCACGGTGTTGTTGGCATGTTTATTTCGCCAAGCTCCTTTGTTCACTCCCCGCCGGCAACCCATTTACAGATAATGGATTCTCACCTCTGGATGTATCTCAGCCCCATGGCAACAAGATCTTTAGTGGCTATTAGCCGTCAATGGAGAACGAGGCCGAGCCACGCTCAAGGACACTTGCCGACCCCCTCTCTGCACAAAGGTGGATTGTGGGGTGGATGAGCCATGTGGGTTTCCCTGCATCCGCTCATCTCCTCTGCCGATCTCTCAACACGGCTGCCTCAAAACACATGGATGTTGGAATAACACTAGGTGTTACATGGTCACTGTAAGCCTTCCAACACACCTGTGCATTTTATGGCTAGACCATAAAAGGAAGGAAGGAAGGAAGGAAGGAAGGAAGGAAGGAAGGAAGGAAGGAAGGAAGGAAGATTGAAAGGGGAATGTAAGGGAAAGGTTGAGAAGGGAGGGGAAGGAAGAGAGGAGGGAAGGAAGGAAGGGAGGGAATCTATCCATTCACCAATACATTTCTCTCTATATATCTGCACCTTGATCCTTCTATATCTATCTACCAAACCATCCATCCATTCACCAATAGATTTTTCTCTTTCTCCATCTCCCTATCTTTTCACCTGTGTCATTCTCTATCTATCCATCCATCTGTCTGTCTATCTATCTATCTATCTATCTATCTATCTATCTATCTATCTATCTATCCACCCATCTATCCATCTACCAATGCATCTATCCGTTCACCAATACATTTTTCTCTTTCTCCATCTCTCTATCTCTTCACCTGTGCCTCTATCTATCTATCTATCTATCTATCTATCTATCTATCTATATCTACCGATCTATCCATTCACCAATACATTTCTCTCTATATATCTTCACCTTGATCCTTCTATATCTATCTACCAATCCATCCATCCATTCACCAATAGATTTTTCTCTTTCTCCATCTCCCTATCTTTTCACCTGTGTCATTCTCTATCTATCCATCTGTCTGTCTGTCTGTCTGTCTGTCTGTCTGTCTATCTATCTATCTATCTATCTATCTATCTATCCATCCACCCATCTATCCATCTACCAATGCATCTATCCATTCACCAATACATTTTTCTCTATCCTCATCTCTCTATCTCTTCACCTGTGCCACTATCTATATCTATCTATCTATCTATCTATCTATCTATCTATCTATCTATCTATCCATCTATCCATTCTTCAATACATTTTTCTCTTTCTCCATCTCTGTAACTCTTCACCTGTGTTGGTTGTTCTCCATCCATCCATCCATCCATCCATCACTCTATCTCTCTATCTATCTATCTATCTATCTATCTATCTATCTATCTATCTATCTATCTATCTATCTATCCTTCCATTTTCTTTCTTTCTCCATCTCCCTATCTCTTCACCTGTGTAATTCTCTATCCATCCATCCATCCATCCCTCTATCTATCTATCTATCTATCTATCTATCTATCTATCTATCTATCTACCTACGAATGCATGCATCCATCCATTAACCAATACATTTTTCTCTTTCTCCATCTCTCTATCTCTTCACCTGTGTTGTTCTCTATCCATCTATCTATCTATCTATCTATCTATCTATCTATCTCTCTCTATCTATCTATCTATCTATCTATCTATCTATCTACCTACCAATACATCCATCCACCCATTAACCAATACATTCTCCTCTTTCTCCTTCTCTCTATCTCTTCACCTGTGTTGTTCTTTCTCTCTCTCTCTCTCTATCCATCCATCCAACCAACCAACCAACCATCTCTATATCCACCTCTCCATCCACCCACCCATCTACCAACGAATCCATCCATCAATTCACCAGTACCCTATCTCTCTATCTTTTCACCTGTGTTGTTCTTCTATCTATCTATCTATCTATCTATCTATCTATCTATCTATCTATCTATCTAGCCATCCATCCATCCATCCATCCATCCCCATCCATCCATCCATCTATCCATCTACCAATGCATGCATCCATCCATTCACCAATACATTTTTCTCTTTCTCCATCTCTCTATCTCTTCACCTGCATCATTCTCTGTATCCATCCATCTAACCATCTATCTATCATCTATCTATCTATCTATCTATCTATCTATCTATCTATCTTCAATCATATATCTACCAAAGCATGCATCCATCAATTCACCAATACATTTTTCTCTTTCTCCATCTCTCTATCTCTTCACCTGTGCCATTCTCTATCTATCTATCTCTATCTATCTATCTATCTATCTCTCTCTATCTATCTATCTATCTATCTATCTATCTATCTATCTATCTATATCTATCTTCTATCATCTATCTACCAATGCATCCATCCATCAATTCACCAATACATTTTTCTCTTTCTCCATAGCAAAGATGCCAAGTCAGGATGTGGCAATGGCATGTGAATTGGATTCTCCTTGACATTGAAATCCGGGAGTCCCTGAATGCCGAGTGGTGAGCTTCTGCTGCCCCCTGCCGTCTCTCGTTGCCTCTGTGGCGGAAGGAGATCACAAAGGGGGGCCAAGAAAGACTATTATGCCCTGCCAGCCATAAGGAAAGGGTGTCCAAAAGGCCTTCCCGCGCCTAATATTTTGTAATCCTGCATCACATATAATGCAATTTGGGGATGGCACTGAATGTCGTTGGACAACGTACAAGGACAATTAAATCATTCTATTCTATTCTCTCTTTCTTTCTTTACCTACCTAATTACCTATCCATTTTTCTCTGTCTTCCTCTGTTAACAACTTCTTGATCCACCTTTCCATCCATCCTTCCATTCATCAATACATAGAATCATAGAATCAAAGAGTTGGAAGAGAGCTCATGGGCCATCCAGTCCAACCCTCTGCCAAGAAGCAGGAATATATCTATGTATTAGGGCTGGGCGGTTTCGTTCATTTATTTGTTAATTCGTTATTAATTCGTATTTAAATTAGCTTACGATCCGATATTCAGCCATGCAGGAATAGTGTGAGGAGTAATTAGATTTGGAAAACCATTTTTTTTTTTCAATTTTATTTTTTTTTTTTGTTTCGTTAAAATTGAGTTTTTGCTATTATTTTTTTCGATTAAATTTTTTTATTCGTAAAATTTTTTTTTTTTGTTTCGTAATTTTTTTTTTTTTGTTTATTTTTTTTGAGGGGGGGGGGGGGGGACAAAATGTTCCTGGGTGGGGGAGGTAATTATTTTTTAATTATTTTCGCATGTCTGGTGCAAGTTTTATAGTTGTTGTTTGTTTTATCACACCAACAGTCAACAACAGAGGGAGAGGGAAGCTTCAGAAGTTCCTCCTGTCCCATTTGGAGGTTTTTTTTAGCATATTGTGCAATCTCGTCCGCCATTAACGAATCGATTCATAATTTACGAAATTTCGTAAATAACGAAACTTTGGAATCTCAAAATTTTGGAAGTATTTAGAATTTAAAAACGCTAGCGCTCCCTGGAAACGAATCGAGTTTAGAAACAATTTTTTACATGGTTACCCAGCCCTACTATCTATCTATCTATCATCTATCTATCTATCTATCTATCTATCTATCTATCTATCTATTCATCCATATATCAATCTACCAATGCATCCATCCTTCCATTCACCAATACAATTTTCTCTTTCTCCGTCTCTCTATCTCTTCACCTGTGTCTCTATCTATTTATCCATTCATTCATTCATCAGAGCATTTCTCTCTTTCTTTCTGTATTCCCCTGTGTCTTTCTCTATCTATCTATCTATTAGGGCTGGGCGGTTTCGTTCGTTAATTTCGTAATTCGTTATTAATTTGTTATTTTTTTTATAACGAAGCGATATTGAACCATTCAGGAGCAACTAAAAAACGAAACGAATTTTTCAATTCGTTTCGTAATTGTTTCGTAATTGTTTCGAAATCATTTCGAAATCGTTTCGTTATTATTTCCACATGTCTGGTGCAAGTTTTATAGTTGTTGTTTGTTTTATCAGTGAAAAAAATATATAATTATTAGGCCTGGGTAACAACGGAAAAATTTGTTTTCCGTATGTCTGGTGCAAGTTTTATAGTTGTTGTTTGTTTTATCAGTGATAAAAAAAAAAATTATCACACCAACAGTCAACAACAGAGGGAGAGGGAAGCTTCAGAAGTTCCCCCTGTCCCATTTGGAGGGTTTTTTAGCATATTGCGCAATCGTAATTGTTTCGTAATTTACGAAATTTCGTATATTTCAAACTTTTTTAAAGAAAAATTTCGGAATTCTTTAAAAAAACGAAACGCAAAAAAAAAACTAAAAACGAATCGAGTTTAGAAACAATTTTTTCCGTGGTTACCCAGCTCTACTATCATCTATCTATCTATCTATCTATCTATCTATCTATCTATCTATCTATCTATCTATCCAAATCAAATCAAATCATTTATTTCGGTCATTGACCAGCACAGGAAATAGTCACATTTTCATACAAACTTGGTATGTTTGGTACATTAAAAATATAAATATAACGACTGAAGCACAATATGGGTGAGGGAGCAGAAGGGAAGGGGAAATAGGGTAAAAACATACAATGCCCAGATCCATCACCAAATTGTAGATTCAGAGAAGAAGATTACTGGACACACAGCTAACTTTTGGGACTAGTCATTCCCTGACGGATTTTGTATGCTGCTGCACAGAACTTTGCAACATTGTAGGTTGTAGCTGAATTAATATCTGCAAGTAGCATGGAGGTATAAAATTGTCCTGAATGGCCTGGGTGCTTGTATATCAGAGGTAAGATAAGCCTGGCACGGATATCCCTGTAGAACGGGCACTGGAGGAGCACATGTTCTATTGTTTCTACATGACCCGAGTCACAGGGGCAGAGTCTCTCTGGGAAAGGGATCTTTTGGTGGCCTTCCTTCGAGTACAGCTGATGGGAGAGCGTGGCATCGAGTCAGGGTGAAAGCCCTTCGATGAATGGGAACCTCTAAGTTTGTTCATCCATCCATCCATCCATCCATCCATCCATCCATCCATCCATCCATCTATCCACCCACCAATCCACCCATCTACCAATGCATCCATCCATCCATTCACCAATACATTTTTCTCTTTCTCCCTCTCTGTCTCTTCACCTGTGTCATTCTCTATCTATTGATCCATCCATCCATCTCCCGATCCATCCATCCATCCATCCATCTCTTCATCCATCCATCCATCCATACATCTCCTGATCCATTCATCCATCTCTTCATCCATCCATCCACTCATCTACCAATGCATGCATGCATGCATGGATCCATCCATCCTATTGATCCATCCATCTCCCGATCCATCCATCAATCTCCCGATCCATCTC